GCAGGAAAAACAAGCTCAGCAGCTTCTCTTGCTGGCCCCCTCAGCCTGCCAAGCAGGATACGGCCCCGGCAGCATGGAGAAAACCCCGGCTCAGCTTGAGCACGACCCTGGGAACAAGCAAGCGAACTGCATCCCTGAGCTGTGCCAGGCCCATCTTGGGTTCAGTCCCACGCACACCTCAAGCCTGAGCCAGGGGTGACAGCACCAGCGGGCTGCCGTGTGCACCCAAATACCCGCCCCAGCATAGCTTGTTTCACAGCACAGCCAGGCCCCATGGCACAGAGCTGTCAATGCTGGTGGAGGAAGGGTTCGAACCCACAGTCCAGCTGATGCTGGAGTCACAGTGGGTTGGCAAGGGTGCAGGTGTCAAAAGGTTCTAGCCTGTTCCCTTCCCTGACAGCAAACAGGGCCTGTTCCTAGACTCGGTGGCCAGCTCCCATCCCAGCAAAGAGAGGGGAGTTTGAGGCAGGCATCCTGCAGAGTGCCCCAGAATTCCCAGATGCTCCTTGCCCCCGCCCAGCCACCCTGTGGCTGGCATATGGAAGGGTCAGAGGGCGAGAGAGCACAGCAAACGGCTCCAATGGACGAACCTCTCTCCCGCTGCCAAACCTTCCGAGCACCGTGGCACAGAGACGAGCCGGACAGCTGTCTTTGGGCACAGGCACAGGCCGAAAACAAGTTGCTCGCCAGATGCCCCCGTTTCTAGCTGACACTGGGAAACCGAGCCACTGCAGGCATCGGGTGTCAAAACACAGTCCACAGCTGATGCAGTCTGGATGCAGCCTGCTCTGCACTCAGACCCACTCCGCCCAAGCACAGCCTGGCCGTCATTGACATGTGGCCAGGCATGATAGTCCGACACAGGTGTTGGCTGCATCCCGATGACAGCCCTTCTTGGGTGGGGAAATGGCTTTGCAGCCACCAAAAGGCCACAATCTCTAAAGGCAGCTAGCTGTAGCTGAACACAGCTCCAGAAGAGATAAGCAGGGCACCAGGAGAGGGATGGGTATCCAGTGCGGGGAGAATGGATATGAGCAATGGAAGAGCAAGGCACCCAAAGACAGATATCACACAGGGTGGGTGCCAAAGGCAAGGCCCATAGTGGGCCCAGCTACTCAGACCAGGCTGCTTCCCTGCTCCAAAGCTCCCTAACGGGTTTCTTGGGGCACAGCGGGGTGAGAGCAGAAACATGGCAGAGTGGGACAGGAAGTGTATGTAGCTCTCAAGGAGGGTCTTGCCCTGCCACGCACCAGAAGTGGCTGCATTTCAGCAGCAGGGTCAAAGCAGCTCACAAGCAGGCCTGTGCAGTGGGTGGGGGTGAAATGCGTTACACATGCACACGCTGCTAGGAATGCCCAAACAAGGATCTTTTCCGCACAGCGCCCCAGCTGGAGGGCTGAAGAGGGGTGGGGGGAGTTTTGTTCTTCTTGCTCAAGTGCTGATCACCAGCTCAACCCAGCCCCTCTGTCAGCGCTGCCCCCACATAGACCTGGGCCCAGCAACTGAACCCCTGAGCAGAATTCGAGGGCAAACGCCAGCACCCCCACTCCTGCTGCCCCAGGGCTCAGTCAAGGGGGGAGAGGTGCGCTGAGATCCCTCAGGCCTTCCCTCTCTCTGCCCAGCTCCCCCAACCGCCGAGCCGGACCGTGCCCTGTCGGGAGCAGAGGCGGACCCCCGGAGGGTGGCCCTGCCTATCCTGCGCCCATCACCGTGACACCGCCCCGCACCCTCAACGCCCCCTCCGCAGCTAAGCCCCCGCCACTCACCAGGCACTCCCGCACCCGCTCGTGGAACAGCTGCTCCTGCAGCCCCAGCACGTCCACCTCCGCCGGCTCCATTCCCCGCCCCGCATGGCTGGGGCAGGACTGGCTGGGCACCCCTCGGCTCGGTCCCCGCGGCCCCTTTAACGCGCCGCCTGCGCTCGCTACACTGTATCCACGCAGGGAGCGCCGCGTTCTGCTCTTAAATCCCCCCCCCCCCCCCCCGGGGAGGGGGGGCGGGGGGGGG